TTATATGAAAACATGATATATGTGACATGTGAATTATATGGAAATGATCTACGTGTAAGTGAACTATGTGACTATGTGATAATATGAAAAGAAGCTATGTGATACGTGATATGTGAAAGTAAATTACAAGTTTATGTGAATATTTGAAATGAAATAAATGATAACGCCCATGTTATGTGTCATGAGAGCTAGGGGTATAGTTGGCATGCCAAGAGTCGAGGGTCTACGTGGTCTTTCGGGACATATGTATATTCTTTGGAACATGTGTGAAGTCTTGAAAGACACATACTTGATCCCTAGTATATGTATATGATTCTTAAGGAATAATATGTGGTCCTTATGGACATTATTATATGGCACTACGGTGCAATTCTACGCGGTCCTTCGGGACATATGTATATTCTTTGGAACATGTGTGAAGTCTTGAAAGACACATACTTGATCCCTAGTATATGTATATGTTTCTTAAGGAATAATATGTGGTCCTTATGGACATTATTATATGGCACTACGGTGCAATTCTACGCGGCACTTCGGTGCAATTATACGAGCTGTGGTGACAGCATTAGTGCACAACCTCTATAGACTCACATATCGATAGTTCTAACATATGTACATGGGCTAATCCAGAGATATGAACACATATATGTTAGTGGTATGATAAATGTTATAGAAATGATATGATGTTGTGTGTGTATAGTGTTTGATTGAAAAGGTTAACCATAAAAGTATGTGATTACATGATAAACTGTTAATGATGAATTATGTGTATGTATGTATTTACTGTAATTAATCTGATATGATTTTATATGATACGAAGAAAGCATGGAATTGGTATAACATGATAGAACAGAGCATGCATGTATTGATATATGTTATAAGTGCATTATAAGTTGTTATGCCTCACTAAGTCTTTGACTTAGCGTGTGATTGTTTCACACGTAGGTTTCGAGAAGAGTAAAGAGTAATGCGGAGCAAGACAGGTCAGTTTTCCTTACCAAATGTCAGATCAGAAAATATAGGTACTGTATATAGAGTGTAGTTGACATGTAGTCTAAAGATATAAATTGTATGAACTCTGATATATTTTGTAAACGTTTTGAATAAGTTAAAAGTTATCAAAGTTTTTAAATTACTCACTATTTTATACGATTAAATGTTTGAAAAGTCAATGTGACACTTCGGACTCGTATCCGAGTCGGATACGGGTTGGGGGTGTTACAGAACTTTTACGAGCATTGTGTTCTGGGAAAGCAGAAGAGAGTGAAGTTTGGCACCACTATACATAATACAAAATGTATTGTGGATTATATTCACTCAGATGTATGGGGTCCTTCAAAGACATCGTATTTGGGAGGAAACCATTATTTTGTAACTTTTGTAGATGTCTTTTCCAGAAGAGTTTGGGTGTATCCGATGAAGTCTAAAGATGAAGTGCTTCGAATTTTCCTGAAATGGAAAAATATGATCGAGAACCAGACTGGTAGAAAGATCAAACGTCTTAGGACGGACAATGGAGGGGAATATAAAAGTGACCCATTCTTTGACGTTTGCCATGAGTATGGTATTGTTCGACACTTCACTGTTAGAAATACACCACAACAGAATGGGGTGGCAGAGCGTATGAATCAAACATTATTGGAGAAAGTTCGATGTATGTTGTCTAATGCTGGGTTAGGCAAGGCATTTTGGGCTGAGGCTGTGACATATGCTAGTCATCTCATCAATCGTCTGCCGTCATCAGCGATAGGAGGAAAAACACCATTGGAGGTATGGTCTGGAAAACCTGCTACTGATTATGATTCCTTACATATATTTGGATCAATTGCTTATTATCATGTGAAGGAATCCAAGCTTGATCTGAGAGAAAAGAAGGCTCTCTTTATGGGAATCACCCATGGAGTGAAGGGATTCCGCCTTTGGTGTTTAGACACCAAGAAGATAATTTGTAGCAGAGATGTTACCTTTGATGAATATGCCCTAGTAAAGAAGGTAACAAATGAAGCTGTCCAGACAAGTAGTACTCCGCAGCAGGTGGAGCATACTCCAAAACAGGTGGAGTTTCAGCAGACGATGATCCCAGAAGTTGATGCAGCTGATTCTTCAACTCCAATAGAAGAATCAGAAGATGAAGAGGTTGTTGATGATGATATCCCTATCACTTACCAAGAAGCAATACAAAGCTTGGAAAGTGATAAGTGGAAAAGTGTCATAGATGAAGAAATGCAATCTCTCCAAAAGAACAACACTTGGAAACTGACACAATTACCGAAAGGTAAAAAGCAATTGGATGCAAGTGGGTATTTGCAAAGAAAGATGGATCTCATAGCAAGAAAGATGTTCGCTACAAGGCACGGTTGGTAGTTAAAGGATACGCTCAAAATGAGGGAATCGACTACAATGAAGTATTTTCCCATGTTGTGAAGCATTCCTCCATTAGAATATTGTTGGCCTTGGTAGCAAAGTTGAATTTGGAGCTAGCTCAACTTGATGTAAAGACGGCTTTCTTGCACGGTGATTTAGAAGATGAGATTTATATGACTCAGCCAGAAGGATACAAAGATGGTGGTCGTGAGAAATGGGTTTGTAAGCTGAACAAATCACTATATGGATTGAAGCAATCTCTGAGGCAGTGGTACAAGCGATTTGATAGCTTTATGAGGAGGGAAAAATACACTAGAAGCAAATATGATCATTGTGTGTATTTGCAAAAGCTCAAAGATTGATCTTTCATTTATCTTCTCTTGTATGTTGACGATATGTTGATCACTTCGAAGAGTCAAAAGGAGATAGACAAATTAAAGGCTCAGTTGAATCAAGAGTTTGAGATGAAAGATCTAGGTGAGGCCAAGAAGATTGGTATGGAGATAAGGAGAGATAGGCAGAGAGAGAAGCTTTGTTTAACACAGAAGCAATATCTGAGAAAGGTATTACAATGTTTTGGCATGAATGAAAATACCAAACATGTAAGTATCCCACTGGCTTCTCATTTGAAACTTAGTTCTCAATTATCTCCTAAAACTAACAAAGAACGAGAGTATATGACAAAAGTTCCATATGTTAATGCAGTTGGGAGATTGATGTATGCAATGGTGTGTACGCGTCCTGACATTTCACAAATAGTTGGAGTTGTGAGCAGGTACATACATGATCATGGAGAAGGACATTGACAAGCTGTGAAATGGATTCTACGGTATCTCCAACAAACCGTGGATGTTGATTTAGTTTTTGAACATGATGAAGTACTTGGTCAGTGTGTGGTTGGATATGATGATTCTGATTATGCTGGTGATTTGGATAAGCGTCGATCAACTACTAGGTATTTGTTTACTCTTGCTAAAGCCCCAGTAAGTTGGAAGTCTACATTGCAATCTACGGTGGCCTTGTCTACTACAGAGGCATAATACATGGCAGTTTCAGAGGCTGTAAAGGAAGCAATTTGGCTTAACGGGTTGATGGAAGACTTGGGAGTTGTTCAAAGTCACATTAGTCTCTATTGTGACAGTTAGAGCGCTATTCACTTAGCGAAAAATCAAGTCTACTATTCAAGGACTAAGCATATCGATGTGAGGTATCACTTTGTGCGGGAGATCTTTGAAGAAGGAAAGATTCTACTTCAGAAAATTGCGACATCAAAAAATCCTGCAGATATGATGACCAAGGTAGTAACAGTAATCAAGTCCAATCATTGTTTGAACTTGATTAACATCTTGAAAGTATGAAAACCTTTGGGTGTGTGGCGCTTGTGAGTGTAATTAGAGGCACTACAAATTTGGGGAGTTAAAGAAGTTGAGTAGGCTTGGTAATTTCAAGCCAAGGTGGAGATTTGTTAATTTGGCTTGAAATTAAGTTGGTAAGTTGGAAATTTCATCTTGGTTGGTGGCCAAACTTTGAAAATGGGAATTTCATATTTGGTGGTTAACTTGTGTACACATTAGAAAATTGTTTGGTAGATGGCCAAACTTTGAACATGGGAATTTCATATTTGATCCCTAAAATATTAGGTTATTTATAAGTTTAGTCCTTAAAACTCAACTATAAATAGGCCTAAGTATTTCCATTAGAAATCATCCCAAAACAAGTTCCCTCTTCCTCTTGTATTCTTCATTCTCCCATTTTGGGAATTCTAAAAAATTCAATTTGTTATAATATTGGCGATATAGTGAAGTTATCATCCGGTGTGGTGCCCGAGGAGTAGATGATATTCTCATCGAACATCGTAAATTTGGTGTGTTCTCTCCTTTATTGTTTTTATTCGGTTTTTCCATTGTGTTTCAATATTTAATAGTTTGACATGTTTACTTTGATGCTTACGCATTATCTTAGAAATTTCTTGTTCTCCGATCCTGACCCCGGACCTGATTACCCAGAAGTCCTGAGGAATAAAAAAATGGGTACAAACTTAGTATCGTCGGCGATGATATCGCCTCCGTCTCCTCAAAGATATTCGGGATCTCGAGAAGATTTTCTCTCTCAAGCTTTTTACTTATTCAATAGGCTTAGTTATTTATTTGCAGATCTTATCCTTGGTTACAATGAGCGAGAAATTTGTCACTCCATGATCAGCTCTAAGTCATCCGAAGAAGCCTTTGAACTGGTGGAAGGTGAGCTCGGCCTTTTGTATGATGCGCTCTACACCAAACTAGCATATCTCAACTATAAAACCATAAGCTATAGGCGGGTTTTCACCCTTTTTACATCCATCCTTTCATTGGTTTTATTCATGAAATTCGTTGATTACAATAGCTCACTGGCCGATATTTCGATCACGTACTTGCTACTGATCGGAGCAGTAGTTCTAGAGGCTTACGGTTTCGTCGTTCTTATGCGCTCCGACTGGACAAAGCTACGGCTACTTCGTTATGCAGAAGCAACAGGTGAGAATTGGCAAGAGATGGCCGATAAAGATATCCAAGTTCAACTTGGTCAAGTTTTGCCTTAGAAAACAGGACGGGGACACCATGTGGATCAAATTTCTAAACAAGCTCTCTATCGAGGAAATGTTGGCAAAAAGTATGAACGTCGAGTATGAAGACGTGGATGCCGATCTGAAAAGCTTCATCTTCCAGCAGTTGAAAGAGAGAAGTGACTGTATCATCAACCTGTTTGATGTCAATTCGTGCAAGAAACTGTTGAGTTACAGAGGAGATTGTGTGCTACACAAAATGGGATGCCTGGAGCTTCTTAAATGGAGCACAATCGAGGTAGATTTTGACCACAGCCTTCTATTTGGCACATTGCTACTCAACTTATTTACCATGATGATGCCAAGAGGCTTAAAGAATCCTATTCTCTTGGAAATATCGACAAATACACCAAAATCAGCGAAGAGTTATCAGATTACATGATGTATCTTCTTGTCATGCATCCAAATATGCTACCCAAAGGGATTGGCGAGATAAGATACCAAGACATGTGCTGAAGCCATCAGATTTTTCCAACAAAGGAGAGGGACAATCCGAGCCAAGGTAGACGAAGCTTGCTACGAATTGTACGGCGTCGAAACCGATTCGTTAGAAGAACTTAAAGGAGACAAGACGAAATCCGTCCTCTTCTACGGCAGCCGACTAGCACAGCAATTGCAAGCTTTGGAATTCGAAGCAAAATGGGACATGGTGAACAAATTGTGGGTCGAGTTATTGGCATATTCTGCGGCTCACTGTGGATGGAAAGAGCATGGTCAAGAATTGAGGAGAGGTGGCGAGTTGCTGACTCATGTTTGCGTTCTAATGGCACATCTGGGTTTAAGTGAACAATATCAAATCCAGAAAGAATACTGCCAAATCTATTAAGATGAACCGGCGGAGAGGCTTCCAGCTGCATGCCAACCTTTCTTGAAGCGTTTATCTGCTTGGGTCTTAGCCATGGAAAAGAACCGCGAATGAACGAATAAATTTTTTGTTTGTATTGTTTTGTTTAAACTATATTTGTGTTCGTTAAGCATTTTAGAGTTGTATTCGAGGTTTATTTGTTTAAATTTAAGTGTCGTTAAGTTCATCCGTATAAAGGTTTACCATATTAATATTGTAATTAATTGTGGTATATCGTGTTGTTATAGTTTATGTATGAATGATAATATGATAAAAAATTTAATTTATATTTTTATCAAATTCAAAAATATAATTGATCTTTATAAAAAGTTAATAACTTATTTAATTTTTCTATAAAAATTAAAGAAGTCTATTTCTACAAAAGATTGAATGAGTCATCAAATTTTTTATAAAGTTAATTATATCTTCGAATTTGATTAAAAAAATAATTTAATTTTTTTATTATATCATTATTTATATATGAATTATTATATTAACATTGTAAATTGTTACGTCATCATCATATTCGAGAATTAATTTGATGAAATTTAGAAAAAGAAAAGAAGGAAAGCGTTCGAAAAGAATAACTTATATAGATCTCACTCGTCACTCTCCCGGTGAATTTTAAGCAAAATTGAAGACCAAAATCTCTCTCGTCTCCATGGAAGCTGCTTCGAGGACATTGTGGAGCTCCAATTCCCTGCTACTCATTTGTTTTGTACTCGTACGTATTCTGATATGTTTCGCTCTCTCAAATCTTTTTTTTTTTTGGTTCAATTTGATTAATTTGGATTTAAATTAGCCAGTTATTCCGTTTTAATTATCTATTAAAAGTTTTAGATCTTTATGCATTGATTTCATTAAATTAGGATCCAAATTAACCGTAAGATTATAGTAAATAAAAAAGCCAAATGTTTATCAGATAATGATCTGATTACTCTGTTTATTTTCTATGCCAGTTCTTAGTAAATTATTATAATTATCAGTAACTTTTGGTATGTAAACTAACACCATTAATGGTTATTTTTTCAGGTTTTCTCCAGTATTATCATTGTTGATGCTGAAATATCAGATGAAAAAACAATGTGAGATCATTTCTAGGATTTTCTGAGTGGTTTTTATCCTAATTTTAATCGACCTTAATTATATGTTCAATGTTATTTCTCAGTGGAAGAGAAATCAAATCATATCGGCTGCCGTACAACAGAAAGGTTTCCTTTATATCTTTTTATTGATTTTGAGTCATATTGTAGTTTGATTTATAAAATTTCAAAAGTGTTTCTTAGCTTATCATTGTGTTGGAAACCGCCGCCTACAAATCAACCATTGTATCGCAGAAAGGTTTCCTTTTTTGTGTGTGTAGATTTTGAATCACATTGTAGTTTGATTTATTGAAACTCAAAAGTATCTCATAACTATAATAGTGTTTGAATATGCTGCCAACATATCGTCTACCGTACGACAGAAAGTTTTCCTTTATATTCTTCTAGATTTTGATTCATTTTGTAGTTAAATTTATCAAAACTTCAAAGTGTTTGATAGTTAATCATAATGTTCTATACCACTGCTGCAGTTTGGTTGCTGTATCACAGAAAGATCTCTTTTATCTTTCATAGATTTGAAATCACATTGTAGTTTGATTTATCGAAATCAGAAGTGTTTCGTAGCTAAACATAGTGTTTGATACCGCTGCCTTCATGTCAGCCGCTTTATGGCACAGATTTCCTTTACATTTTATAGATTTCAAATTACATTGTAGTTTGATTTATTGAAATTCAGAATTGCTCCATAACTAATCATAGCGTGCAGTACCACTGTCTGCATTCATGATTTCATAATGTTGCCCAAACTAACCATCAGTTCTAATGTTGACGAGCAGGAAATGAACGCTTCCTCTGCAGCTCAAACGTTCAATGGCGACGATAAGGTAATAAGCAGAGTTTATCCTTTTCTTTTAACACTACTGTACTCATACATATGTTGTTTTATATAGGATATTGACATAATTGCAACATACAGTGATGGTTCTGGCACTATTCGAACAAGTAGGGTGAAAATGAAGGACCTTTCTGCTTCCTGGGTTCTCGAAAACCCTATCAATGTGAAGGGCTCACAATCACAGGTATTTCCATTTGATTGCGTTACATTGGTTTTGTTATATTTGTCTAGAAATTAAGTTGACAAGTTGGAAATTTCATCTTGGTTGGTGGCCAACTTATTGGAAATTTTATCTTGGTTGGTGGCCAAACTTTGAACATGTGAATTTCATATTTGGTGGCTAACTTGTACACATTGGAAAATTCTTTGGTAGGTGGCCAAACTTTGAACATATTGTTCTTAAAACTCAACTATAAATAGGTCTAAGTATTTCCATTAGAAATCATCCCAAAAACAAGTTCTCTCTTCCTCTTGTATTCTTCATTCTCCCACTTTGGGAATTCTAAAGAATTCCATTTGTTGTAATATTGGCGATATAGTGAAGTTATCATCCGGTGTGGTGCCCGAGGAGTAGACGATATTCTTGTCGAACCTCGTAAATTTGGTGTGTTCTCTCCTTTATTGTTTTTATTCGGTTCTTTTCCATTGTGTTTCAATATTCAATAGTTTGACAGGTTTATCCGCTGTGCAACCTTTGGTGTTTTTAATCTTGACATTTTAAGTCAATTTTAAAACTACGTTCGTGTGGGAAATAACCCGTTTTCCCCAACAATTGGCATCAGAGCTTCGGTTGAGGTTATCCTGGTGGTTCCGTTGCTGAAAAAATACAGTTCGTGATATTGAATATTGTTCGTTAGAATTAAAATGCCAACATACGGATCAGTTGAGACATCAAGCTCTTCATCTGGACCGGTAACGAGGATGATGTCAAATGCAAATTTCTCGGTGGAGTTGTTCGATGGATCCGATCATTTTGGCATGTGGCAAGGCGAGGTGTTAGACGCTTTATTCCAACAAGGTCTAGACATCGCCATTGAGGAAGAAAAGCCCGAATATATGGAGGAGAAAGAATGGGGAACAATCAATCGTTTGGCGTGCAGCACGATTTAATCTTGTCTTTTCAGGGAGTAGAAGTATGGCTACAAGAACGAGACTTCTGCAAGTAAGATGTGGAAAGCTTTGGAGGAAAAATTTCTGAAGAAAAGCTCTCAGAATCGTCTTTACATGAAGAAAAGATTGTTCAGATTTGATTATCAACCATGCACCAGTATGAATGAACACATCACTGCGTTCATTGAGCTAGTGGAAGACTTATTGGGCATGGATGGAACCTTCAAAGATGAAGATTTGGCTTTGATGTTGTTGTCATCTCTTCCAGATGAATTTGAGCACCTTGAGACAACTTTACTTCATGGTAAGGATAATGTTACCCTTAAAGGTGTAAATGTTGCTTTGTATAGTTATGAACTCAGGAAGAAAACCAAGAAGAAGAGCAAGTACGAAGCAGCGGAGGCCATGGTGGCAAGAGGTCGCTCGAAAAGTCAAAAGCCAAAGTGGAGAGGGAGATCAAAGTCGAAGTCTAAACTGGGAAAAGATGAATGTTCTTTTTGTCATGAGAAAGGCCATTGGAAGAAAGATTGTCCAAAGCTGAAGAAGAAAGGAAAAGCTGCTCCAGATGTATGTGTTGCAGAGCATGATGCACATGACTCTGACATATCATTGGTTGCTTCATCAACAACATTCCATTCCGATGAGTGGATATTAGATTCGGGTTGCACCTATCATATGTCCCCTAATCGGGAGTAGTTCTCCGATTTAGTGGAACTAAATGCAGGAGTTGTTTATATGGGCAATGACAATGCCTGTAAAACTGTTGAGATAGGTTCAATTCGATTGAAGAATCAAGATGGATCAACCAGAGTTCTGACAGATGTCCGATACGTGCCCAATTTGAAGAAAAATATCATCTCGTTGGGAGCCTTGGAATCCAAAGGCTCAGTAGTCACTATGAGAGATGGAGTTTTAAAAGTCACATATGGCGCACTTGTGATGATGAAGGGCATCAGGAAACATAATTTGTATTACTACCAAGGTAGTACAATTATTGAAGCAGTTGCAGCAGCTTCCGGAGGTGATGATTTGGACGCAACCCAGTTGTGGCATATGCGGTTGGGACATGCTGGAGAGAAATCCTTGCAAATCCTGGCAAAGAAAGGAATGTTGAAAGGTGCAAAGGCTTGCAAATTGAAATTTTGCGAGCATTGTGTTCTGGAAAGCAGAAGAGAGAGTGAAGTTTGGAACCACTATACATAATACAAAAGGTATTGTAGATTATTTTCACTCAGATGTATGGGGTCCTTCAAAGACATCGTCTTTGGGAGGAAACCATTATTTTGTAACTTTTGTAGATGACTTTTCCAGAAGAGTTTGGGTGTATCCGATGAAGTCTAAAGATGAAGTGCTTCAAATTTTCCTGAAATGGAAAAATATGATCGAGAACCAGACTGGTAGAAAGATCAAACGTCTTAGGACGGACAATGGAGGGGAATATAAAAGTGACCCATTCTTTGACGTTTGCCATGAGTATGGTATTGTTCGACACTTCACTATTAGACATACACCACAACAGAATGGGGTGGCAGAGCATATGAATCAAACACTATTGGAGAAAGTTCGATGTATGTTGTCTAATGGTGGGTTAGGCAAGGCATTTTGGGCTGAGGCTGTGACATATGCTGGCCATCTCATCAATCGTCTACCATCATCAGCGATAGGAGGAAAAACACCATTGGAGGTATGGTCTGGAAAACCTGCTACTGATTATGATTCCTTACATATATTTGGATCCACTGCTTATTATCATGTGAAGGAATCCAAGCTTGATCTGAGAGAAAAGAATGCTCTCTTTATGGGAATCACCCATGGAGTGAAGGGATTCTGCCCTTGGTGTTTAGACATCAAGAAGATAATTTGTAGCAGAGATGTTACCTTTGATGAATCTGTCCTAGTAAAGAAGGTAACAAGTGAAGCTATCCAGACAAGTAGTACCCCGCAGCAGGTGGAGCATACTCCAAAACAGGTGGAGTTTCAGCAGACGATGATCCCAGAAGTTGATGCAGTTGATTCTTCAACTCCAATAGAAGAATCAGAAAATGAAGAGGTTCAAACCCAAGAACCATTGGAGACACCAGAATCACTTGCAGTTACAAGGCCAAGGAGAGATATTTGTAGACCTGCTCGATTTGTTGATATGGTAGCCTATGCTCTTCCATTTTGTTGATGATGATATCCCTATCACTTACCAAGAAGCAATACAAAGCTTTGAAAGTGATAAGTGGAAAAGTGCCATGGATGAAGAAATGCAATCTCTCCAAAAGAACAACACTTGAAAACTGGCACAATTACCGAAAGGTAAAAGAGCCATTGGAAGCAAGTGGGTATTTGTAAAGAAAGATGAATCTCATAGCAAGAAAGATGTTTGCTACAAGGCACGGTTGGTAGCTAAAGGCTACGCTCAAAAGGAGAGAATCGACTACAATGAAGTATTTTCCCTTGTTGTGAAGCATTCCTCCATTAGAATATTGTTGGCCTTGGTAGCACAGTTGAATTTGGAGCTAGCTCAACTTGATGTAAAGATGGCTTTCTTGCACGGTGATTTAGAAGAGGAGATCTATATAACTCAGCCAGAAGAATACAAAGATGGTGGTTGTGAGAAATGGGTTTGTAAGCTGAACAAATTGCTATATGGATTGAAGCAATCTCCGAGGCAGTGGTACAAGCGATTTGATAGCTTTATGAGGAGGCAAAAGTATACTAGAAGCAAATATGATCATTGTGTGTATTTGCAAAAGCTCAAAGATGGATCTTTCATTTATCTTCTTTTGTACGTTGACGATATGTTGATCACTTCGAAGAGTCAAAAGGAGATAGACAAATTAAAGGCTCAGCTGAATCAAGAGTTTGAGATGTAAGATATAAGTGAGGCCAAAAAGATTCTTGGTATGGAGATAAGAAGAGATAGATAGAGAGAGAAGCTTTGTTTAACACAGAAGCAGTATCTGAGAAAGGTATTACAATGTTTTGGCATGAATGAAAATACCAAACATGTAAGTATCTCATTGGCTTCTCATTTGAAACTTAGTTCTCAATTATCTCCTAAAACTAACAAAGAACGAGTGTATATGGCAAAAGTTACATATGCAAATGCAGTTGGGAGCTTGATGTATGCAATGGTGTGTACGCGTCCTGACATTTTACAAGCAGTTGGAGTTGTGAGCAGGTACATGCATGATCCTGGAGAAGGACATTGGCAAGCTGTGAAATGGATTCTACGGTATCTCCAACAAACCGTGGATGTTGGTTTAGTTTTTGAACAGGATGAAGCACTTGGTCAGTGTGTGGTTGGATATGTTGATTCCGATTATGCTGGTGATTTGGATAAGCGTCGATCAACTACTGGGTATTTGTTTACTCTTCCTAAAGCCCCAGTAAGTTGGAAGTCTACATTGCAATCTACGGTGGCCTTGTCTACTACAGAGGCAGAATACATGGCAGTTTCAGAGACTGTAAAGGAAACAATTTGGCTTAACGGGTTGATGGAAGACTTGGGAGTTGTTCAAAGTCACATTAGTCTCTATTGTGACAGTCAGAGCGCTATTCACTTAGCGAAAAATCAAGTCTACCATTCAAGAACTAAGCATATCGACGTGAGGTATCACTTTGTGCGGGAGATATTTGAAGAAGGAAATATTTTACTTCAGAAAATTGCGACATCAGAAAATCCTGCAGATATGATGACCAAGGTGGTAACAGTAATCAAGTTCAATCATTGTTTGAACTTGATTAATATCCTGAAAGTATGAACACCTTCGGGTGTGTGGCGCTTGTGAGCGCAATTAGAGGCACTACAAATTTGAGGAGTTAAAGAAGTTGAGTAGGCTTGGTAATTTCAAGCCAAGGTGGAGATTTGTTAGATTTTTCTAGAAATTAAGTTGACAAGTTGGAAATTTCATCTTGGTTGGTGGCCAAACTTTGAACATGTGAATTTCATATTTGGTGGCTAACTTGTACACATTGGAAAATTCTTTGGTAGGTGGCCAAACTTTGAACTTATTGTTCTTAAAACTCAACTATAAATAGGCCTAAGTATTTCCATTAGAAATCATCCCAAAAACAAGTTCTCTCTTCTTCTTGTATTCTTCATTCTCTCACTTTGGGAATTCTAAAGAATTTCATTTGTTGTAATATTGGCGATATAGTGAAGTTATCATCCGGTGTGGTGCCCGAGGAGTAGACGATATTCTCGTCGAACCTCGTAAATTTGGTGTATTCTCTCCTTTATTGTTTTTATTCGGTTCTTTTCCATTGTGTTTCAATATTCAATAGTTTGACAGGTTTATCCGCTGTGCAACCTTTGGTGGTTTTAATCTTAACATTTTAGGTCAATTTTAAAACTACGTTCGTGTGGGAAATAACCCGTTTTCCCCAACAGGTTTCTGTCAATTCATGATCTGATATTGAAACTTTAGATTCCAATGCCTATTCATGGTGTTCAAATTCATAACAGCTAGTATAACCAAATTAAGTGAGTGAACTGAGTAACATGCTTGGCATCAACAGTTGAGTAATTTTTTTAGGTAATTAAGCTGAAAGAATCATATCAAACTACCACACCATTTGAAGAAAATGTTGGACATTCTACCGATGACGATCAATTGCAAGAAGATGAAGTTGAAAATCATCGACGGCCATCATGGAGTCCTGTGAAGTTCAAGCGCCAGGTAAATCATCCAGCCCTTACTGTGAATTTACAAATTTCTTTCATGGTTTATATTTGTGATAGTATGAGTGGTATTCAGATGCTGCGGCAAAAGAGGAGGGAACTCCGTACCGCAGAACTTATTCGCCAAGATAAAGAGGCTAATAAACAGATGCAAGCAACAGCAGCAATTGAGAGCTTAAAAAACAATGACATTGTTGTCCAGGGAAAATACAGTATATGGAGAAGAGATTACGAGAATCCTAATTCTGATTCAACCTTGAAGCTTATGCGTGACCAGATTATCATGGCAAAAGTATATGCAAACATTGCCAAGTCCAAGAACAAAACTATTCTTTACAATTCTCTTTTGCAACATGTCAGAGAAAGTTTATATGTTATTGGAGATGCTGACTCTGATGCCGAGCTTCATCCTGGGTATTGCTACTTTATGTCCCCTGTTTTGGTTATCAGTTAAATTATTTTATAAGTCCCTATACTATAGGTTGATGAGCAAAATAGTCCCTCGACTATAGAAGTGAGCAAGTAGTTACCTGTATATGGTTTAATTTGCTCCTATGCTACTTTTAATCTTTGGTTATCAGGTATGTGTATTATATGGGTCTCATGAAGAAGTGTTGTATTTGCAGTTCACTTGATAGTGCGAAAGCAATGGGGCATGCATTGTCTATGGCAAAGGATGAACTCTACGATTGTTACGTAGTTGCAAGAAAACTTCGAGCCATGCTTCAGCCAACGGAAGATAATCTCAATTCATTGAAGAAAAAGAGTTCCTTCTTGATTCAGTTAGCCGCAACAACCGTCCCGAAACCACTGCATTGCCTAACACTGCAGCTAGCAGCAGACTACTACATTCATGGATATCAGAACAAGAAGGATCCAAAAAACGAAAAGCTTGAAGATCCTTCTTTGTACCATTATGCCATATTTTCCGATAACGTACTGGCAACATCGGTGGTTGTCAATTCAACAGTGCTGCATGCGAACGAGCCGGAGAAACACGTTTTCCATGTAGTGACTGATAAACTGAATTTTGCTGCGATGAGGATGTGGTTCATCATGAATACTCCTGAAAACGCAACAGTCGAGGTCAAGAACATCGATGATTTCAAGTGGTTGAATTCATCTTACTGCTCCGTTCTTCGACAACTCGAATCTGTTAGAATTAAAGACTATTACTTCAAGGCAAATCATGCTTCGTCTCTCTCTGTTGGTGCTGACCATCTCAAATATAGGAACCCGAAATACTTATCGATGCTTAATCATCTTAGATTCTATCTTCCTGAAGTCTATCCGAAGCTCGACAAAATCCTGTTTTTGGATGATGACATTGTAGTTCAAAAGGATTTGACGCCTCTTTGGGATGTTGATCTGCAAGGAATGGTAAATGGAGCAGTGGAGACCTGTAAAGAGAGCTTCCATAGATTTGATAAGTATCTCAACTTCTCCAATCCAATAATCATAGAGAATTTCAACCCAAATGCTTGTGGTTGGGCATTCGGGATGAATATTTTTGACTTAAAGGAGTGGAGAAAGCGAAACATCACGGCCATATATCATCATTGGCAAGATTTGGTATTGTTCACTATTGCTCTTCTCTTGTTTCATTTCTCTTTCATGTAGATGTGTCCCAGGTCGGACCTATTTATGGTACTGCTTCAATCCGAAATATGAGCCTTAAATTTTATCTAAATTGGTCAATATTTACAAAAGGCCAATTCAAACTCATTGGTCAATATTTTGCAGAATGAGGATAGAACTCTTTGGAAGCTTGGCACATTGCCACCGGGACTGATCACTTTCCATAACTTGACTCATCCGCTGGACCGAAAATGGCACGTATTAGGACTCGGATATGATCCGGCCCTCAACAAAACCGCGATAGAAGAGGCAGCTGTCATCCATTACAATGGAAACAATAAGCCATGGTTGGATCTGGCGATCGCCAAGTACAAGTCATACTGGTCTAAATATGTAAGTTCTGGTAATTATTACCTTCAACTCTGCAAAATGAGGGAATGACAGGTTTTTCAACCCTTTTTTCTTCCCTTTCCTCGTGCTTTCACTTCTTTTCACACTTGTGGTTCTTTTATCATGGTAAAGAAAAGGGTCATTCTTTTATGATTCTTTGTTGATTTCGATAGGAATATCAACATTTTTTCTTTCTTTTTCTATGGAATAAGATCTCCTGCCTGCTGCTGTTTACCTAATTAGCTAGGTATGTGTATGGTTTCATTGAACCCAAAATTGAAGGCGCAAAATCAACCTCATTTCAATTTTTTCCCAATTAATTATGTTCGAGTCCGTCCCTTATAAACCATATGTATTTTAATGCTTGGAAAGGTTGATTCTGATCTCAATATTGATGGATGTAAAATTTGTTAGGTAAAGCAAATCAATAGAATTAAAGGGAAGACATAATGAGGAACATTATTATGTTCCCACTTTGGTTACACAATTTTTCTTCCCACTAAAACTTTGAACAATTGCCAATTTGAATCTCTCACCACATCAATTACGATCCACACTAAACAACTTTGAAGCTTCAATAACCATGAGTATACCACCCTCCTTGATTGTACGGATACGTTTGTACTTTCGGCAGTCCGACAGGTCCTTGCATGCCGTTCCTTCTGTATTGCTCCCACATCACCTGTTCTTCCAGAAGGAGCTTCTGCTTCTTCCCCATGTCCGACATCTGTACGTACGATGGAGGCGCAACTGCGAGTGATGCTGCGAATGGATCAACCTGCATTGATCCATTATTGTTGTTATCACCACTGTTCGATGAAGGCGGAGCAGGCAATGCTAGCATCGCCGGTCTTCCGGCTGATCCAAATGCGACGCTGCTTGCACTTCCGGTCGCTGCACAACTTTGCATTGCCGCTAGTGTTTGGCCCTGTTGGTACATTCCGTCGAGCAACAACTTGTCGAACCCACCGCCGAGTTCCGCTTTTTGATTGTTTAAGCTACTTACGGATTGAACAAGGGCAGTTTCCCAATCGATCTCGTCTTTCAAATCTTCCCATCTTGGTCCCGGCAACTGAACGGCCGGTGCAGGGCCGTCAAACAATGCTAATGCCAATTCATCGGCGTGGTCTTCATACGAAACTGTATCCTCCCCTAAGTTCAACAAGTCAGCCTCTAGTTGCACAATTATAGCTTTCGAGTTATCATCTTCGTCTTTCTTCTCCGGTTCGTCTTCGAAGAGATTTTCCGGTGGTGGTAATGCTTTAACCGCGTTAATATCTTCTTCGGGTTCGGTTTCTTTGATTTCCTCGGGTTCATTCCTCGGTTCCTCTTTACTTATGTTTCCTTGCTCCAAAGCCGATTTGTCGCGGATCAACTCATGGAGGAGGTCGAGTTTCTTTGGGGTGATCTTCTCAATCTCAGGGAACTCCGACGGGCGTGCGACGCCGAAGGTCTGACACCACGAATAGAAAGCATCGAGCTCATCGAATTGCTGGCTTTGTCGGCAAAAATTGTCGTAGATTTTCATGGTATCCAACATGTCGACGTCCATGAAACGATCGATCAAAGCTCCCATTATTTCGGTCATGTCGTAATATATCTGGAAACTCTCTTTTAGGATTGGATAAAGCGCCACCGTGACCACCCTGTTGCATTTGGCTTCACCTGTTTTTTTTCAATCATGCAAAAAAAAAATATTACACCATTAATTCATGTTATATAGGTGTTCATTAGTAAGATTAGGTTTAAATTTTATATATATATATATAATATGCAAACCTGTTGGTCGACAAGCTAAGAAACGTTCAACAATCTGCTGCAATTGCTGCATTCTTTGAAATAATTGCTTGGTTTTCATCTCATGGACCGGCGTGGATCTAACGACAACCGCCTTATCGATATTTTCTTCCCCAAATTCTTCATCGTATTTATACATATTCCGCTTCGCATTCTTCCCTTGCATCTTAAATTCCAGGCTTTCGTCGAGGTACAACGCATAAGCCCTCACAAACGCAGAGAAATCCCATGAGTTGGACCGCGAGGTGTCGCGGAAGTCGGACATGTTTAGAATCCGAGTCCCGCGCCTTGTCGAGAAGAAGATCTCTTGCTCGTATGCCGGATCGCCCTCGGTGAGAAGACGGTGGATTAACACGAGTGTCTTCAACGCCACGGTCCAGTTCTTGGTCTTGTTGAGACGTCTCGAGAGGGAGTTAACGCATGCGCTAACATAGGCTCTCGAACACGAGGTCAACGAAAGTATTTCCCGGACATGTCGCTCATCGGCGGGGTACTCTTCGTGTCTTGTTGCCTTTACGATGGCTATGTCGAGTTCGGAAAGTGACGTGCTGCCACCGACTTTGGCAAGACCAATGCTAGTCTGGTCTTTAACACGGCCGATGGCTCTTTTGAGCTTGCTCGCCATGGATTTTAAGGTTCTAAATATTAAGTAAAATACCAATTAAAAAAAATTCCCAACAACAATCGATGGAGAAGATTGTTGATGGGAAAATGAAAGAAAATTCCCCACTCTTTCCCTTTGTTAACTTTCTTTAACTTCCCTCTTCAACTATGTTTTTCTTTTTCTTTGAAACCAAACAGAATTCGATCTTTGAATCAACCATGCATGCATGGCTATTGCCATTTATTACCCTATATTTCAGCATTAACAAAGAAAACTTTGTTTTTTTTTTAACGGCAGACCTTTAGCCAAATGACAGATTCTGTTTGGGTATAGCTAAAGAAACGTGAATTCTGTTTAAGAATTAAGATATAATATTTGGATTTGATTAGTTTGAGTCGTGCCAAGGGAAATTCTTTGCCATCAGGTCTGGTTTGTTTTCAAACCATTTTGACATTTTCAGATTTATAATGGAAAATGATTTCATGGTTATTTACTATAAATTAGCTAAATCAATTCATTTATGCATAGATACGATTAAATTATCGGTTTCGGTTGAATAACTCGATTTTAATAATTTATGTATTGTCTTCTTATTATAATAAGTTTTATATAATTTATGAATCTCGTTAAATTGAATGTAATCAGAGATTTTTCATTGTATTCTTCAATTTTTGTGAAAATTAATATAATTTTGTTTAAAGATGACTATCAACCATTTGATATTGAATATTCGTTTCCTTAGTATTCCTGATATTCAAACTCAAGATTTCAATGAATAACAACAATTCTTTTACCGAGATCACTAGAGTTTGTGCGCGAGAATTAATATAATTAAGTATATTTTTTATTTTAAAGTTAATATTTTTTAAACTTTAAATTTATATAATTGTGTAATTGTACAATATGTACTACTAAACATAACATAAAAAGTTAAGATGAAATTACACTTTATCAGTAAAATATGTTAAAAAAAATTAAAATTTATTATAATTATACAAAGAATACTAATATATTTGTAAAATATATTATTGTATTCAATTTTATAGAATGTCCTCGAAAGGACAATATCTTTTTCTTGTATGATTTTTCTATCTAATTATATTATTATTTTTTCTTAAAAAAATATTATAGTATTCAAATTCACTATAATTTTATTTAAATTGATTATCAAATTTATAGTAAACATAATATTGAATAATATTTAATATTTTTGTAGTTCAAAACAACTTATTACGCATAAATAATTTTAAATATTTATTTTGATTAAACATAAATATTCAATTTGAAGACTAAATAGAGAAAATAGATGGAAATGAAAGTTGTCTTCATTAAACTTAGGGTAAACTACGCCAATGGTTACTGACGTTTGGGTAAGTTTTCGTTTCCACCACTAATGTTTCAAAAGTTACAAATAGGTCACTAACGTTATCGTTTGTGACAAAATGGTCACCGGCCGTTAAGAGGCGTGACGAAAAATACAGTTAGACCGTTATCTACTGAGTTGGCTCGTTGACCGCCATTTTGACTGGCTCTTCTTCTTCTTCAAACCATTCCCCATCTTCTTTTTCTTCACTTTTCTTCTTCTTTCTTTCTCTTCACTTTTCTTCTTCTTTCTTTCTCTTCACTTTTCTTCACTTTTCCTCTTATCACACACCTGACACAACCCTCACCTCCAAATGAATTTCAGTTTTCATTTATATCTTTTTATAGGGTTGAACCCCTTTATAATTATTTTCTGGAACCTGTGTCCCTAAATGAATTTCAGTCCTATGAAATTGCTGTGGGTTATTTTAGATGATAATCCAAATGAAGTTTCAACAAGTATGCATACAGTATGTTGGGATAAAATCAATACCATTATTTTCTCCTTGAATTGTATTCACGTGACTTCAAAACTTAGTAGATAAGAAATATGATGAAAAACTAGTATGTGCAGAATTGGAAAACAGAATTTTGCTAATGGCTATAAATGGGGGATTTGAATTAGATTTATTACTTTGCACCTTCTATCATCATCTGTTCATGTTCATTAATTGGTCTGTCTCTCGCTTTCTCGTTCTGTGACCAATATTCCTTTTACAGACCAAATTTGCTGAATGGTGTGAGTGAGCAAGTTTTTGTGAGTTTGCATGCCCTCGTATTACTGTATTTTTCTTCTTTTTACATTTCAAATTCAAGCTATTCTGGTGTTTTGTACCCTCAAAATTGGAATGAATGGGATAAGATGTTTCAATGCCAAAGTTGATATTCTTCATTGTGCACATTAAGTAGCTTTGCTATTGAGTGTATCTGCAATGTTTTCTGCGGCTTTTGCTAAAATTGCTGTCTGTTTTTTGGCACAGTTCACAATTTTTATACTAATTGGGTAATTATAAGTAATTATGTTTTTTCATGTCCTCCTAATTGCCATCTCAAACTGTATGGACCTGAAGCTTGAAATTATCCAGAGTGAAAATCGTTTTAGGCTTTGACTAGGCAACTTAATTTTCTGGAGTAGTGCTTTTCATTTGATGTTTCGATATGCATCAGGCTGGATTGGATTCTTTTGGGCTATATGGTTGGGTGCTAAGAAAAGCATGGACCTGGCAAAGCACTCGTTCAGCATGACTGGATATGCTATTTCAGCTTGGGAGCCGAACAAAGTTTCAGACTGAAACACTTCGGTGAACGTAAGACCCCAACTCCACGAACTGATTCAGCATGTATATGTTGTCGGATGCCGTTGATTAATCATAGATGTGAAGCATGTGAATGC